TAGTTTTACATTCATCCTATCATATATTGTTTAATTGCCATGGTTACAGTCCCCTCCATGAATCTTCAACCAAAGGGTATACACTACAAGCCTGTATCCTGGTCGTCAGCACACAGCCCCTCTCCCTCTCTGTGTCTAAAGTCCCCAACTGCTCCATCTCTCCATGTCATCGTCAAATGACATTTTTGACTGCATTATTTTCTCTGTTTGTCATTGTTTATCGGTCCAGTTGTGAGGATTTTTGTTTCTTTGTGTTGAGATGTAATGTATATACTAGAGGATATTTATGTGCTTCAAGTCATCTTTGATTTCATCAAGCAAGGTTGTATCATCTGCATATCGCAGATTGCTAATGAGTCTTCCTCCAGTCCTGATGCTGTGTTCTTCATATAGTCTAGCTTCTCTGATTGTTTCCTCAGCATATTGATTGACTAAGTATGGTAAAAAGGATACAACCCTGATGCACACGTTTCCTGATCTTAAACTATACTATATTCCCTTGTTTTATTTGAACCTTAGTCAATGTATAGGTTCCTCGTGAGCACAAGTGTTCTGGAATACCCATTCTTCACAGTGCTATCCGTAATTTGTTATGACCTACACAGTTGAATGCCTTTGCACAGTCAGTATAACACAGGTAAACATTTTTCTAGTACTCTCTGCTTTTAGTCAAGATCATCTGACACTAGCAAAGGTACCCTTTGTTCATGTCCTCTTTTGAATATAGCTTGAATTTCTGGCAGTTTCCTGTCAGTGTACTGTTGTGACCAGTTTTGAATTATAATCAGCAAAATTTTATTGTGTGTACTATTAGTGGTATTGTTTGCTAATTTTTGCATTTTGTTGGGTCACCTTTCTTAGTTGTTGTTGTTGTTTTTAGGTGCCATCGAGTTGGTACTGACCCATAGCGACCAGCACAGCAGATCTACACAGCAGAAGGAAACACTGCCCGAGCCTGGGCCAACCTTATTACTATTGCCATGCTTGAGTCCATCGATGCTGCCACTTGGCCAATCCATTATATTGGGGGTCTTCCTCTTTTTCTCTAACCCTCCACCTTACCAAACATGATATCCTTCTCTAGTGACTGGTTCCTCCTGACAATATGTCCGAAGTATGAGACATGAAGTTTGGCCATCTTGGCCTCCTGGAAGCACTCTGGCTAATGGGCACAAATATGGATCTTTTCCTGTCAGTTGGCCACACAATGTCTTCCATATTTTTTGGCATCAATGAGTGAGCACCTCCAGTGCTGTATCAGTTTGTTAAAAAATTTCAGTTTGTATTCTGTCTATTCATGGGGCCTTGTTTTTCACTAATACCTTTGTTGCAGCTTGGAATTCTTCCTTCAATATCATGAATTCTCAATCATATGCTGCCTCCTGAAATGACAGAAGGTCAATTAGTTTTTTTGGTATAGTGACTGTGTATTCCGTCCATCTGTGTCATTTAATATTTTGCCCATAGAATTTTTCAGTATTGCAATTTGGGGCTTGAATTTTGTCTTCAATTCTTCCATCTTGCGAAACACCAAGTGTGCTCTTTTTGTTTATCTAAGTCTAGGTCTTTTCCCAATTCATTATAATGTTTTACTTGGTATTCTCAAGCCACCCTTTGAAAGTTTCAACTCACCTCAGCCTGTTGTTTTGTTAGGTGTCGTTGAGTCCATTCCAACTCATAGTTACACTATGCACAACAGAACAAAACACTGCCAAGTCCTGCACTACCCCCACAATTGTTATGTTTGAGACCATCGTTGTTGCCACTGTATCGGTCCATCTCGTCAGAGGGTCTTCCTCTTTTTCACTGAACTCTACTTTTCCAAGCATGATGATATCCAGGAGGGACTGGTCCCTTCTGACAACATATCCAAAGTATGGGAGACACAGTCTTGCCATCCTCACTTCTAAGGAACATTCTGGCTGTATTTCTTCCAAGATAGATTTGTTTGTTCTTCTGGTAGTTAATGGTGCTTTCAGTATTCTTTACCAACACCATGATTCACATGCATTAATTTGTCTCATGCCGTCCATATTCATTGTCCAACTTTCACATACATATGAGGCAATTGAAATACCTTGACTTAGGGCAGGCTCACCTTAGTCTTCTAAGTGACATCTTTGCTCTTTACCTCTCTACAGAGGTCTTCTTGCAGCATATTTGTTTAATGCACTATGTTGTTTGATTTCTTGACT